ACTCAAACTAACCTGAGCACAACAAAGCCCCCACCCAAACAGAACACTCCCCCATCCAATCAGAGCACAGCCAACCCCCCATCCAATCAGAGCACAGCCAAGCTCCTTAACCAATCAGAACACACCTCCACCCAATCAGAACACAGCCAAGCTCCCACCCAATCAGCTCAAACCCCACTGGCAGTTAAAAGGAAGAAACTGCTGCGATCACACACACTACACCCAGAAGCACGAAGCTGAAGACACCAGCCTGAAGATGACGAATGTGACTTCGTCGAAACATCGCCAAGACACTTCTAATTCTACGCGGGAGAAAACCCGAATAACTAAAGACCTACATACAACCTCAGAAAACATATATATATATCATTGAGTTTATGACCATTCTCAGACAATTTACATTTCAAAGTGGAAGACAATTAGTTAATTCGTATTCTATTTCTACTAGGGAAATAAAAGAAATCTGCCACAGATTTCAGTAGAAAAGAAATAGTGTGGCTTGGAAAAACAGAACCTGAATTAGCAGAAAGCTCTGTGTTGATTAGCACCAATGAACTGAACCCATTATCATCCAACATACATTTGAGAAAGTTGCATTAATAAGAGTTATTTTCAAGGAGATATATACAAAAATGTTTAAAAGAATAATCTTTGAAAAGTATAACTTTACAGAATAAAGAATTAACAGAGATCTGCAGAATCTGTTCCCTATGCAAAAAGGACTAAAGTATTTTCTAAGTCCAGAACTATAACATTAGGAAGCAGCTGAGACATATACCTCCCTACTAAATTGAACTGTAAGATGGAGGAACTGATAATAATACAGTCAGACCTCTAGGATTCTCTTATTATAGCCAATCTCAGTAAAAGTAGTGTTAGTCTTCCTGCAGAATTGAATTCTTAATACCTCCAAGACTAAAATATTTACATAGTTTCTACTGTTTACTTGTTAATGACTACTTAATCATCCCAGAATTTCATATTATATAATTCACATATTTAGATTAAAAGTGGAATGAGGAAGAAAAAATGTTTTGATTTAAACTTTAAAATATATACATTAGTGATTGAGATAGGGAAAAAATTGGTTGGCTCTTGGAAGCAGTACTAGCTTCTGGTCAAAATGTTAGTAAAAATTCAGAAGCTATCTGTGTAGAAGAAATATGTTTGAAGCTATATACGGATCACTTGTTCCCATCAGCTATTGTTTTGGGAAGTTGTTACCTTTTCCCCTGTAATCCATGTGTCTGTTTCTCTCTCTCTCTCTCCCTCCCTCCCTCCCTCCCT